TGTCCCAGTGACAGGCAGGTTAACAGTGACACTGCAGTATAGACACTGCTTCATTCCACTCCCTCCTTGCATCTGACCAGACATCTTGTCCTGCACTTAGCTTACCAATGCATTCAAATAGGAAACAATATGCTTTTATACTGGGTACAGTCCAGAGCTATAACACATATTTTTCTTTTTAGTCTTCTTAAAACTGCAACTCAGCCACTGTCAAAACCATAACCAGTCCTCTCCCTCCAAGCCAATGAAATCTTCTCTACAAATACTGAACTCAGGTTGGCTTTGGCAGCTCTTGAGGCACTAGACAAACAGAGCTCTGCTGCATGGGCTCTGTCCACCAATGGACTCTTCCCACCCCCACACCCTCATTTCACCTCAACAGGAACTTCTCTCCTTAAAGGTTGAAATCAACTTTGCTGACTTCAATGGAGAGATGCTTGATTTATGTGGGGCTGAGAAGCGAATCAGGCTGTGATTCTTTATTGCCTTTTAAAGCCAAGAGCCCAGCAGAAGCCAATTGTGTCTGACGTGAAGCTGCTGCACACCCAACGTGGAATCTGCACAATTCTATAAACCAGCAGTGGTCTAAATAAAAACTTCAAACAAGACATTCTGGCATTGCCCAGAAAGAGTGAAGATAAACAGCTGGGAGCCGCCAAGTTGTGAAGGAAGAACTGCTTGACTGTTGGGCAGAGAGTAAAGTAAGAGGCAGAAATTAGGCAGGGTGCTGGGAGGCTTGTAACACTCCCAGTAAGCAAAGGGGTCACAGTGTTTAATCTGATTAATTCGTCACTAGTCCAAAAGACTTTGTATTGAGCCTCAGGCAGTGCAATAAACATACAATCATTAAGAGAGGAAATAAAATATTGGTTGGGTGGTAAATACTCTAGCTCTCTCTCCCACTCCAGCTTCTCTCATTTCTTCTCTCCTTGCTTGGTACAAATAATGGAGGCAATAAAATAAGTGAGTGGCAGCATTAAACAACAACAAAAAAAGCTCACTGTATTTCAAATTTCCCATCAAAATGCTTTCAAGGAAATCTTTGACTTGTTTTCCCCATTAGTCTTGCCTTTCCTCAGCAGTCCATTCCTCTAGGAATTACCATGGATAGGATGGAGCAACATCTAGACCAGTTTGGCTTCTCTTGTCAAGACTGGCAGAAGACTTAGTGGAAAACAGCAAAAAGGACACTTATCCTAAGGTACTTTTGGAGGCCATTTCAGTAGTCTCAGTTGTACATATAAGCATCCAGGGGCCCAAACTAATGCTTTTATGAATGCAATTGTATTTACAAATAATGGGATTTTGCAAAGATCTGACGTTGAGTTTTACGGGCCAGATGGCATAAATACCCTGTAACTGTACAGTGCCCGTCCCTCACTACAAAACACAGCAGGGAGGACAACTGGCCCAGTGACATTGGAGGTTAAAAAAACAGTTGCAGCTGCTTAAAGCTATGTAGAAGCATAGGGTATCCGAGGATACCATACCAGATCAAGAGCTGGGAGAAGAGAGCATGACTAATGCTCTATACATCCTGGCAAGTGATGCTCATGTCTGGATCTTCTCCCATCCACTTCAAGTACTGCTACTTCTCCTGCATCACACTTGCTGGGCACCAGTTTGTATCTTACCTCAGCACAGCTCTCTACAACTGGAAACAGTTTTTACTCCCCTTTCCAAACAGAATATGTTGTTTAGACATTTTCTGGAGTCACATGAGAAGATTACATTACCTGAGGTGGGTCTCCAAACTCCAGTTCACACATCAGCCTACATCTGCATCTCTACACTCATTGCCGTGTGACACTCAGGTTCCTTTGAGACAAATGTTACTAAAGAAAGCAAGGTGACTTCAAATTGATAATACACATTTTTTTTTTTTTCCTTTCACTTATTTGTCTCTTATCCTCCCTTGTTCCAAGATGTAAATGCAAATCTATGAGTATATACAGAAGACCTAGTCAGTATACAGTCTATATTATAGGCATTCATATCACGTATGTAAGCTAATCAAATAAGAATTTTTTCATCAAATAGGATATTGAGCCAGTGTTTCCACTATTCCTAAGGTGATATGTTCACTAGAGAATAATGAATCAGTCCTGTAAATCCAGTACCATAAAAATATTATTCATGCAAATTATTATAGGAAAATCAGCAAAGTTTGATTAATAAGGCGGTTGACTAATCTTATTTGACTGGGTCTTCTACATACATTCAGAAGGAGAAATAAATTTATCACTAATGGAAAGTAGTAAAACTTTGATTAAGTCTTCATGATAATTATCTAGAGGAACAAATACTGGTTCTGTGAAAACAACAAACAGCTCCTCACAGCGGTTTTGCCAATATTTCACCATGTTTGTTTTTGTTCATTGGAAGTCCTGTTCTAATCCACAATAATGCATTTGACTTCTGGGAGAAAATGGCCAGAGATTTATTCTGTGATATGTGGAAATGGCCCTTTCTAGCATAAAACTGAGCCATAAAAGGGAGTTTTGTCAGAGAAGACATCTCATCTGGATATATGCCACTCATCAGCAGAGCATGGTTATTTATATTTGTAATAACATTAGACAAATACTGTTCATTTCCTTGATCGTCACTTCTCCCTTGTCCCACTTAGCCTCCTGCTCTCCCCTTTGGAAGATCTAATCATCCAAAGTAAGGCTTTTTAATAGGAACAAGGGCAATTTTAAATAAAGATAGTAAAAACAACTCTAGGCAAACACAGCATACAATCATGGATTTACTAAATGCATTTAACATACATGTACATATGCACCATCCCTCTTCTCCTCATCAAATCATACAGCCAAAGGGTTCTTGCTGTGCAAAGCCCACTCCAACTATAACTGGTGAACGAGGTGAAACTCCTTCAGAATTAACCAGCACCATACATAATATTGCTAAAGAAAAGTCAAATTTGAATAAATTGAGCTTGTAGCACTGTTGGCCCTTGGAAATGGAATAGGTGAAGGTGACTGTAGGCAAGTTAAACTCCAGTTTGTAAAACATGTTTGCCATGCTAACTATCCAGCATTCAGAGACTGATGATTGCTACCTTGCTAATAACTGCATATAATTAACTTTACATTCCTGTAAATTTACTGTGCGTAGTGTCTGTGCTATATCTGATGAAACTCATGTTTCAGTAAATCCATGACCTATTTGTTGATCTTTCCGTCATTATATCTACTATGCAAGACAACCTTTGCTTGTATAATCATCAGCTTAAAAAAAAAAAAAAAAAAAAAAAGCAGAAAAAGTCTGAGCATAAAGTAGCAAAGACATCAATTAGACTCACTACAAAGAAATGAATAAATATATTCCTATGTATAATGGCTTTTGTCCTGTGCTTCACCATCAGCTACATCCTGGGCTGTCATGATTGTAACTAGGAAATAATCAGGCAGTTTGTATAGATAAGATGGCATATCTGTCTATACAATCTTGAACGTAAAACATGCTTTTCCTTATTTTTCCAACTTATGGAAATCAAATAGAAGTAACTCCCTACTCTTTTCAAGGCACAGTTTATGGCATCAGGACTGTGTATCAGCAACACAAGTCTCTTCCTCTGCACTACGTATGAAAATGAAGCAGGCTGATGTGACTAGGCAATGAGAAATTTGCTATGAGGACCTCTTTTAAACAGCTCTGTTCTGTCTCCCAAGCCCATCTGTGTCATCAATCTGTGGCCTCTCCCTGGGACCCTCACCAGGGGCTTTAGCAGCAAATGCAGAGCAGATGAAAAGATCAGCCACCCAGCTGTGCACAGTGCCTCAGGTCATGGAGTGCAGGAGGGACTCCAATATTTTGCAAATGCACGAGATGCACCTCTGTCTGTGGAGTGTAGGAGGAGGAGAGAGAAAACTGAGTCAGTGCTTAGTGCTCACAGCTGGAGAGATCTCTTTTGGATGTGTAGTGACAGCGTAGGCAATGCAGAATCTGAATCACCTTCTGCTATATCCTTGCCTACTGAGTTGACCAATGCCATGCGTCTCATCTTCTGTATCAGCTAAGCAAGCAAGTAGGGTTCATTAAGGTGTTATCAATTCATCCTTTTAAATGCAGCAAGTTTGGGTTAGCACAAAGAATATTACATGTAATTTTAATTTCTTAAAAATACAGCAGGAAGAAACTGGTTGCAGGCAGAGGGTGAGAAGAAAGATGGAATAATTATCTGGTTTTTATGAAGAGAATATCCAGAATAGGTGGAGAAACAAGCAGAGCATTTATAAAACACATCTACACATTTGTAGAGCACTTTTAAACACAAGAGGTCCCAGGATGAGTAAATTAAGCTAGAATTTCCCCTGTACTGAATACCCAGTGACGGCCCTGTGCAGATCATGGATGTTTGCTGTGGCCAAGGAAGTTGGCACTCCTCCTGTGTGATCCTTCAATCTGGTAGAGATTTCCAGCTCCTCCAGAAAGAACGTCGAACAACTTTTCTGATCATTCTAAATTGTAAAGTTATATGTAGGCTTTAAGGTTATCTGACAGGATTGTTTTCTTCCATACACATGACCTATGAGTAGCTAGGTGCTGTTCTAAACAAAATAACACTAAAAAAACTACACTACAACAGCACCTGCAACCAGCACACTGCACTGAAGCTAATTACTGTGCTTGAATGCTGAAGAACACTAACTGGTTCTATCATCACTCTTATCACAGATATCTCAACAAAGCGTGGGTAGATTTTGCTCCATATTTCATCTCCAGCAACATACTATGAAGTTGCAAATGTCATTACCGAGCATGCCAAAATGCCCATGTAGTGAATATAACACTGAAATCATGATGTAAATCTATTTTCAGCTTTCATCTGAATATTCAGGATGTCTCTTCTTATCTCTGTTATATATTATTTTTATATAGCAAAAAATGACAAATCCTGAATGGCAAGAACTGTCAGGCTGAGTAACTGCCTCCTGGGACAGAGCTGCATGCTCTCATAGGATTTCCCCTCTACCCTCCCTTGTTTTACCTTTTTTTTTTTTTTTAAACGATTAGTCAATCAGTGTTTAGCCACCTCAGGGGAAAGCAAGGTGAATTAGGAGAAAAAATGCCAAGGTTATCATGGAAAAGTTTAATCCCTCCTCAGTGGGAACCAGTTAATAGCTACGGCTAGACTCAAATATGGACCTCTGTTGGGAATCCCAGTGAAGGTCAAAGGCAGAGAGGAAAAAAAAGCTGCACTGAGATCTTAGACAGTCACAAGCAAACAGATGTTCCTAGGTTTTAAATGAACAGTCTTGGCTCCAGGTCTTTCTTGGAAGAGATACTTAGTTTTAGCGTTTTTCCTTGCAAAGCAAGGTATGACTCTAGTTAGCTGGCTTTGCTTAGCTAACTGCTGATGATTTTTCCATCTAAATAATAGCTTAACAATGAAGAAACCAGTTCATAATCTGTGACTTGATGGATTAGGTCATGGGGAATGATGTGCAGTTGTAATCATGAAAATTAAAAATAAATAAAAATAATTTTTGTGTAAATGAGAAACAGTTTTAAAAGTTTAAACAGTAAATTTGATGCCTATTGCAAGACCTCCATCTTATTCATTTTCATGGTCAAATATACAGAAGGAAAATGGCAGGAAATTGATTTTTTTTCTTAGCAAATCCTAGTCCCAGATCAGCCTGGTGGGGATCACATCCCTACTTTGAAAACTCATTTGGGTTCACCAGTGCTAATTTTTTCTTGTCAGTTTTCTGTGCCTGAGTGAAATATATTGAACTGGAAAAACAGGCTTAGCAGACATATTCTGTTCAGAAGGCAGAGACTGTTATCAAACTGTGAAATCAATAGCTTTCAATAGACAATAGAAGTAACCTAATCAAAAATCCCAAAGACTTTCGTTTGCTGAAACACAACTTCCTTGATGCAATAGCTTACAGTATGCTTGCTGGAGAATGATTTTGTTCTTTGACAGGCATATAACAATTCTCATTCTAACTTGGGTTTGAATTCAGTCTCTTTTCAAGATTTTCTTGTTTCTCATTTCTGGGTGTCACAATTGGTCTGATATTGTATGATACAGCAAGTGGAGGAGTTTTCATGGGATAAGCTCCCATTTCAGACTGATTTTCATCATAACAGCCCAGATCTTGGACTCAGTGAAGGAAATGGAAATGTCTAGATGGCTTAAGTATGAGCAGTCTTTGGATCTCAATCAGATATAAGTCAATAAAAATCTGGAAAGGTTCACATTGGCAGGTTATATACATTCTTTGCTCCTTCTCTGTTCTCTATTGATTCTCTTTTTTGTTTTGTTTTGTTTGTTTTGGTTTGGTTTGGTTTTGAGGCTAAATTATGTTTCTTTGAAGCTGTTTTCCAGCACATCAGAATCTCATCTACTGATGGTTGTTTCAGCCCTTTCCCCAACTAGTATGAAACCTACTTTCTGATAAATATATGGTGGTGCGGGAGCACTGGGCTCGCTCCCAAGGTAAATTCAGCAAAACACCTGCCTCTGTCATCATGAGGGCAGCTCCCGATTGTAAAGTACAGTTCAGTCTTTCAGGCAAGATTCAGATTCTTTCCCCCCTTCTCAACTCTGTGGGAGAGGAACAATGACCTTAGTATCCAAAAGAGTTTTTTCCTTCCCTATAAACCTAGCTTATATTTCCAAGTCATACATCCTCAAACTCTTTATAGCCAGTCAGGGTTTATTGTTTCCATGACACCAGTCCCTTCTTTCAACCACTTGATTCCAGGATAATTAGTTTACATCACACCTACCAACCAGAAGTGAGAGATTCACACAATGATTGTAGCGAGGGACTCTATATATTCAGTGTAGCCATCAACATCTTAGGTCCCTCCGGATCAGTGGTACACCATACTAGTCAGGGAATACTGATCCAGCTCCACAGCTTCCCATACATCTTTGTCAGCCCTTCAATAAATGGACTTTGTACACTTTGTGGGTGAGAGCAAAGAAACTCTTCTCAGCGCTGTGGCTGTACTCCCAAAGGCTGGGCAACAACTATCACCTTAAGACATTAGATCCGAGTAAGAGAGTTTCCTGCTTTGCCAGCAGGTTTTGTAATCGCTGCTGTTGTAGAACATGATGGGGACACTTTTGCCAAAAGTGCAACAAGCAAGGATAAATACACAAGGTGAAAAGAAATATTCATAAATGCTGTCTAACAATCCAAATACTTGTGTAGGTCTCAACATGTGGCCAGCTTTCTTGTCAGTATCCCTAAAGTCTAGATGGGAAATGAGAATCAATTACAAACAGTCAGAGAAGTGAGTGACTTGAATATAATTATTGAAAATTACAAGTCCCTCGCTTTCAGCATTAAAATTAAAGTACAGGTAGATAAAATAAAATAAAGCAGAACTTACCAGAAGAGGCAGAAGAATCATAAGTACTTCTATCCTTTCTATTTATCCTGAAGGGCTGAATGTCCTTCTCTCTGTAAGTTCCAAACCCTTCGAAGCTTCTTCTTTTATTCCCACTTCCATCATTATCCCGTTTCTCACTCGAGGAATTCATTTCACCAAACATGTCCAGGGACTCTGGCCTTGCATTACTCTCAGTATTACCAGAGTATCTCTTTGTGCAAGAGTCAATGGGATCATTGCTTGAATCACTTTTATCTTTACTCTGTGTCCACTGCTGGGCATCAGAAAGTGATAAGGTAGACAGCGTATCCACTTCAAAGTTACTCTTTGAGCCTTTGTGTCCAGTTTCACAATGCTGGTGCTTTTGCTTCTCCTTATGCTTGCTTTTATCATTGAGCAAGGAGAGATCTTTATCTGAGCCACTTAGCCTTTCATTGATAGAGTGACTGGAGAAGCCAGTGGACTTGCTAGCAAAGAGACCACTCAGATCTTCATGCGTCCCCAGTATCCTCTCATCCTTATGCTTGTGCTTATGTTTGTGTTTCCTTTTGTGAAGTCGGCCACTTGAAAGGCTTGTTCCTCCAACCTTTGGAGTAGCCAAAGAGGACTGCATGTCTCCAAGGCCCATTCCCACAGGTGTTTGTAGGTGCACTCCATGTTTCGCTTTATGCTTGGCAGTGGTGGACATTTTCATATGAGAGCTTGCATGGAATTGGGGAGGGGGCACGGTAGGTCTCATAAATGGGGAAGCCGCTCCGAGCGTGTGAGACAGGTACAAAGGAGCTGGATACTGACCATAGTAACCAAGATTCATCATAGGCATTGATGTGTAAGGCATTCCATAGGGTGCATAGTAACTCCCACTGGGAATAGGGTAACCGAACCCTTGTAAAAAAGGCACCTTTGTCATGGTGTCATTGGTTTTGGCAGGTCTACCACGCTTCTTCTTAGACTTCATGTCAGAGGTCCTGCGAAGATAGAGCAATGGGTCATATTGGATATATGGCACAGGGTAATAGTGATCAAAATTAATCCTGAAGATGCTGGGATATGGATTTTCATGATAAAACGTGTAACTACGATGCGAAATCCTGAACACTTGAAATTTATTGATGAGTTCCTCAAGGTCTGCCAGAAACTGGAGATCATCTCTGTTTTGCAAGCTTTTCCTTTTCCTCTTGTGCTTTGGCTTTTTCATGCTCTCATGAGAGAGAAAGTTATCCACAATGAGATGTTTCTGCCGGTGACCATGCCTGTTTTTTGTGCTGGTGTCAGATGGGATAGCCTCTGGATTGTCCAGGGTGCAGAAATCAAAGGAATATCTCCGGCGGGATTCTGAGCTTTTCTCAGCCTGGTCAGAAGTACTGTTGTTGTCTGTACCTATCCCACTGTCGCTCGGAATGGTTTCCTCACTGTGAGACTCACTCACTGGTGACAGCGTAACTTCTTTTAGAGAACCTATTTCACAGAGGTGGGAAGGTGAATTAGCCATTAACCTGGGTGGAGACAGCTTCCAAGTTCCACTGTGCATTCCTTTCTGGGTTTTTGTAGGAAGAGCACTGATAGGTTGAAGATTTGGCATAGTTTTTAACTCTGAAAAATTTGTTTCAGTGCTTGCAGGGCTAAGGTTGCCATTAGTCCCCGCTAACTGCGTTGAAAGCGGATGAATAGCTGCTGGTGACGATGCCACAAGTGACTGCAGATTGGAAGGCACTGCTGGGTTTTCTGGCTGGCTGGAAACAGGCCTTGAGTGCTTCATGGCTGTCTTAGGTTCTTCTGGTTGAGGCTGCAGCTCTGCTCTTGGCTTCCTGCCCCGTTTTTTACCAATGTAGATAGTCCCCCTCTTGCTGACATTGATCTGCTTCCCTAGTCTGGCATCAATGGTTGTTGGCCCAGCACTAGATGGTGGCTGGATTTTCGCTTTCAGAGCTATGCTGCTGGAGCAGGAGGACAAAATCTGATTCAGAATATTCTTCCTCTTAAGGGTCTTCATCTTATTAATGGTCTTGATAGTCTTCTTATCCAAGACCCCAAGCTTTCCAACCTTCTTGTGAAACTTGAGATCACTGATGGACTTGTCCTCTCCTGGGACCATCTGAGCCAACTTGGCCAGATTCCGTCTCCTCTTTCTTTTCTTTGTTCCTGGAAATTCACGATTGATTGGACTCACTGGGCTAGTGGATGTTCCCTCATGAATGGTTTCAACAGTGAGCAAAGGCTGTTTCTTTGGTCGTCCTCTTTTTTTCTTGACAGGTGTGATCACAGTAAGACTGTCTGTATTGGTATACAGAGGGCTGGATGGAGTGATGGGATAGGCTGAAGGGGGTTCCACCATCATCTTCTCAGATGTTGTCATGGAGGTCTCCCGAAGGATAGATTTAGGTTTGCTGCAGGTCCATCGTCGTTTAGCTGTGAGTTTGGGGTGCTGGACCTCAGACAGTTTGCTAGCTGTGGGGAGATCAGTGGATAGGAGAGTAGATGTCACAGCTACAGATTTTCTGAGTCTGGTGGCACTGTTGGGGGAATCTCTGTCCATAAGCACACTGCTGTCAATAGCTGACAAGGGGGATTCATTTTCAATCACTTTCCCTGGCTTTGTGACTCGAATATCTTTTTTACTCCCTTCTGACTGAGAAATAGTCCTGTTTGCCACTTCACTGCTCATAGCAAGCCCAGAAGGAAGACTTTTCTCTTGGATAGCTTTCTCCATTGAAGATTTTGTAGACTGCCTTTTTTTCCTTTTGTGGCTGGATGTATCTGTTGTTGGAGACTTTATTGGGATAGTAATTCGTACATGGCTAGTGTCATTTTCACAGCTGCTTGCAGAAATGGGATTCTGTTTTGATGGTGACGCATCCAACACACTGTCCATCGAATAAGACTCTTTTTTTCCTTCCATGCTGTCATGGCATTTGCTGTCAAACGCTTTCTGAGTGCTCTTCACCCACTCAATGTCAGCAGTTTGGGTGGTTTGACATATCAAGTCCTTTTTGCTGGACTTCTTCTTTGTACTCCCAACAGACTGATCAGGAGCTTCCAGCTGCACACCTCCGTCTTGATCACCAATAGGCAACAGCCCGTTGCACTCAGAAGCACTGCTTGGCTGAGCAGACACACCAGTGTTGTTGGGTGATGGGACTGCACTGCAAATGGCAAGCTCTTTGCTGCTGACAGATAGTTGCCCCCACGTGCTGCTGGCACAGGACTTCTTTGCTTGGGATTTACTGAAGGAAACTCCTGGCTCTGGAGGTGTGACCTTGGTGGCACTAACAGCTTCTCGACTGGGTTCTGTGTTGATGAAGCAACTTTGAGAAGTGGATCCAGTATTGGAGCTTGCTGACCAGTCAAGATGGTGCTGGTTGCTACTTTTCTGCTGGTGCTTTGATTTTAAGGTATCACTGGTGAAGTCTTGTTGGAGGCCTGGATCATAGTGCAGGGTTGAATGTTTCTGTGGCCTGTCGTAAACCTGGAAGGTAAGAAAAGAAAAAAAAAAAAAAAAATCAGGGAAAAAGTTAGTTTATCAGTCCAGTCACAAACACTGGCTGCAACTCTTTAGTTGCATAGTGAATCACAACTGCTCTAAGCCAAAGTTCTCATAACAGTCAGGAGCCTTTATAAAGTGTTCATACACTTCAGTCAAATTTGCGTTCAGATTCATGCACTGTAAACAAGTTTTGTGTGTTTTCCCACTCTAAAAAACAATGGAAATATTTCTATAAATGCTAAATTGCAGAGGAAACCTCTTCTATTGATTTTTAATTTAAAACATGAGTAAAATATTCCCTTCCAATGCATGAATGGTGAAACTTAACCTCTCGGTGAGAATGCTTTTCCTTAAAAATAATCTCTAGCAGAACTTGATGCTCAAAACTAAATCCAGTGATGTAAACAACATGAATATAGAATTATCTAGGAAGCTACAACAAGCAAGAGGAAAACCCATGAGTTTATCTCCCCACAAAGCCAAAATCCTCAAAGATCTACTTGTTTAAATTTCCACATAGAAGTCATCACCACAAAAATCAATGGTTGAAAATGATAAGCATAGCATCCAGTGTGTGAGTTACACTTGCCAAGTTCAAGATTTGCATTATTCTCTTTATATTTTAATAATCTGCTATTTGCATTGTTGGTAAGTGACAACTTCAATACACTTTTTAATCTGACAGCAACACTTCAAACTGCAGGGGTAACAGAAAGGGCAGAAGTATACCGAAATCTTCTACAGAGCAAAATAAAGGCTACTTTATTCTTGGCAGGTGTCCTTCATTCAAAGGAAATTATATTTCTTTACATCTATAACTTTTTCAAAACTCTTTTGAGTGTAAAAAGCCAATGAAACAAACAAACATTTTATTTTCTCTCACTGATCTCCTCTAGCCATTTTTTTTTCTCTGGTCACATTCAGATGTTATGTTTTGTAAAGCTCTGGACCAAACTGTGCAACTGATTTTGAGCACCTAGTACAACAAGCAAACAACTGTTCCCAACAAACTGTAACAACACCGTTCCGAATACCAAATAAATGATGAGAGATTTAAAATAAATGCGTAACTAAGGAAAGAACAATAGAAAACAACTGCTAAGTGTCTCATGTTTCTGCAAACATGCTGTTACAATTAAGTTTCTATCAGCAGCATTACATTAGATCCTTGCTTGGGTTGTTTGCCGCAGAGATTTTGGGGTCAGCACAAAATGGTTCTGAGCTCCTTGAGACCTAATCTGCTGGGAAATTAGGTGTCCTCAAATCTTGATCAATTTCAGAGGGATTTGAAAGGTGCTAAACACCCCAAGTCCACAATATGTTATTTAGTGACGAGCAAACATGCGTCTTATAGGCAAACTGATGTTGAGATATCCTTAGTATTCACATGAAAAAGGGCATGTGGCCTTCCTGGAAAAGGCAGTAACGATGAAGTTGTTCTGGTCCATTGTCTGCAGAGTAATAGGGGACTCTTAAATCCTGCAGATAGTTCAGCTGTTGTACATATGGACCAGCTACGCTCAGGGAAAGCAGAGATTTCCAGGAATTGTGGAGTGAGAAAATGAAAGCACACAGCTGCGGTGGAGCTGCAGATGTCATGGGTGAGCGACACACTTTTCTTTCCTTTTTTTTCAGCCTGAGAAAAGAGCCAAAAGCATAAATAGGCCTTGGGGAAGAAATCAGCTCCTCCTCCTCCTCCTCACTGCAGCCTCCCACGCTCCAGCCGCACTGCAGCCTAAGGGCGCACAGCTCCCACAGCACAACACCAATGTCCTCCTTGGGTAAAATACAAGGGAAAACACAGCCCACCTGTTTGTCACGTCCCCAGAATGAAGTTGAATATGTTATCATGCCTCACATAGAATATATTCTTCCAGGGTATAATTTCTGACTCGGAAAAAAAGCCTGGAAATAGTGGGTTGAGGTCTCTCCCGGCCCCTGGTGCTGTTCCAAGGTAGAGATCTCAGCCCTGTGAGTTGCTGTCAAAGCAACTCCTGCCCCTCACATTATTTCCCAAATGCTGAGCTGCAAAACTAAACAACAGGAACAATTTCATTTGGAAAAAGAGAAGGTGACCACAGCAAGAAAAAACATCACAAGCTAGCAACACCCTGGTGCCTCTAAGCGCACTGCACACACAGGAATCTCTGGTTTAAAAAGAGCAATAATCTCTATATTTAAAGCCATTAATAAGGGCTCAGCATTGAGAGGCCAACTGTATATCAGAGATGAGTGCTGATATATCAGTTGAATCCTCCAGTCTCATTTCCTTGTTCCACACACTATAAAACGGTGATGCAACTACCAACATATCCCTAATGATAGCCTTGTCATTACTCCAGTACCACAGGCCACCACAACATTAATCTTACAGTTCATGAGAAAGATATCCGTCTGTCATCAAAGGTGCCAACGCTTGAGGCACCTAACCACATAGATAAATATTCCAGTTTTAACACGGCCTCAAAAACCAGCCAGACAGCAGGATTGGAGAACTTCATTTCTGAAATGGGATGTCAAACTATATATCTGCTGTAGCAAATAGCAGTCCACAGGGTCTCTTCATGATACTCCTTCCAGCATAATGTTTACAGTTTGCTCTCTCCTGCCAGACATGTCCATGTCATCCCAAAATAATTCTTCTGCAGGAAAGACCAGAGTAACAAGAGAGCATGCAGCTGCAGTAGGTTGGGTTTCGTAGGCTGTATCAAATACATGGGGACTGTCTTCTTAAAAGCACTAGTAAATTGGTTGAAAGTAACCCAGCAAACTCTTTTTATGGTGTATTTTTCTGTACTGCTTTCTGATCCCATTGGTCCTAACATTTAGTCTTCATCTTGCCCTTCTGGGTGAGCACAACCCTAAGAAGCAAACAAGAGATAGCAGAATATATCTAACCTCTGGGATGAGCTACTAGAAGATATCAGGGCAGTTGGGGAGGAGGGGAGAAAAGAGGGGCTTGGTGAGAGTAAATGAGGCTCTTCAAAAACCTATATCCTGGTACCTTACACAGAAATTCATTATTTTATTTGTCAGTGAGCAGATCTGTAGCAAGGGGCTTTTGACTCAAAAAAAAAAAAGAGTTCCTATGGCAACACAGCCTGAGACCAGTACCAACAACAGTGGGCTTTTTCCTGAAAAGTGAAGTGATTAACTTGTTTACTTTTTGGTTTATGATATCCTAAAAATGCTTCAAACATCAGCACCTCTATCTGTAGTTCACTCTTTCATGAAAAGGGATTTTCTTTAGCAGCTAACTATTCCGGACCAGGACCACTGTCCTTCATCTGATAGAAAAGTAGAAACATATTTTAACCCATGTAATTTTATTACTAACCTTGGTCAATATCACTCTTGATATTCAGTTTATCAGAAAGCCTTAGTGGGTTATAACTCCATCTTTCCTTTAAAAATAAAAATAATATCTTCTGCTTTATAACTGCAAAGAAGTTTGAGCAACGCAATGCAGCATAAGCTAAAACTTATACTAAAAAAGTGACGTATGAATCCTCTTACCATTAGTGAAATGGTTTTAGCGTCAAGCTCATGACTTTCAGTCCTCACACCAGGTAGTTGTAGGTAGATTTACAAGCAGGATACATCCTGTTTACAGGCAACTGAAGAGAATCGGACGGAGAGCAAAGGAAATGGCAATGTGTGCTTTCACTTGCCTTTCCAGACCTGTGTATCCCTGCACCTACGGATATACTTATCTTGATAATTTTATTCAGGCACGCAGGCCTCAACCATTAAAAAAGAAAGACATATCATAGTCACCTTCCTGATAAACAGCACCTTACTCTACAAATAGTACCTAATGGCTAAATCCATCCCTCTTGGACTCTTAATTTAACTACTAGATGTATCACTCTGCCTCCACATCCCCTCTGAGCTTCTCTCCAAATTTACATACTACTTCTAGTCCCAGAGCAGAAAGCAAGAAAAGATTCCAGTAACCAAATCAATAAATTAATATGAACATGAAAAAAAAATTACTAACTAATCTATAGGAAAAAGAAAAAAAAAAAAACATCTGAAAAAGAAGAAAAATAAACACATACATATCTCTTGAAACAAATCTAGTTGCTTACAGGGTGTGGTACCTTTTTGCTCCAAAAGCAAAAATGAAAAAAAAATCTAGAGGTATATATTCTTGACATACAGCTTGTCAGGAATCTGGCTTGCAAATCAAAGTTAATACTACTACGCCCCCTCTTTAAATCATTTGCAGATCCATCTGTGTAATGGCTCCTCAAGTGTAATTCCCTATTAAGAGGCTTTATATGGAGAGATAAGCAGCTGGTTCCCATGTCAGTAATTGCTGTCTGCTGTGATTTTAAAACATCTGCACCATTGTGCTCTTCATTTTCATATTCTAATCACCCTGAAACTTGAAAAAGGTACATCATTGATTGTTTCTGTGGGTTAATTAGTACACAGTCTCCTTGTAGAGACAATTTAAAGGCAGTCAGAACCTCAATCAGCAAGTTTGTTTTAAAAATTAATAACACTGGGAGTGTCTGTGGGGATTGGCATCCACAGTGACACATCAGAGTATGCTCTGGGGACATACCATCCTTTGTTTTCTTCTTCACAGGCTGAAAATAAATTAAAAAAAAAAAAAAAAAAAAAAAAAAAAAAAAAAAAGGAAAGGAAAGGCTTTCCTAGACAAGTAATATCACTTAGATACTTTGGAAGCGTTTTTGCCTTTTCTCAGGGCCACTCCTGCCTCTCCAGCAAGCAAGAATATCAGAAAAACATTGTTCAATTCCTCTGTGTGGTCTAGGAACCTGAAAGGCATTTCTGGTAGCAATTCTGGCAATGAGAAGGTGACATCTCATTGGAAATCAATGGGGTGACTGTTTTAATTTATGCAAGAGTTTGGTCTGTTGGTCACCTGGGCTGGTTGATGCTGAGTCATAAGATTGCTTCCAAGCCATGCAGAGAAGTATTTTAGCTCAGGCAGAGCATTCTGTTAAGGA